TAGACAAATATTACCTACCAGAAAATACTACCTTACTGAAGACTTGCATCTGACCGATCACAGCCCCAGAGCCTAGCAATCCCTGCTACTTTTGGCACAGATGGAGGGCTGGTGGGTCGCCTCTGAAAATTCTTTCCTGGACTCAAAACTTTTCTGATGTTGACATTGCTTTACTCACCTTTTGAGAGGAAAGAATAACTGCAAAATAAGAAAAGCTCTCTTCTTTGGAGGCTTTTACAGACTTCCCAACTATATCTCACTGAATGAAAGCAAACTATTGCAAAGTTCCAACCTCCCAACAATTTAGTAAATCCTAAAAATTCAGTAAAAAAAGTGAGAGAAAATTAAATACTGTATAAACATGCCATCAGAGTATTCCTACACCAAATACATTTATTTGGAAAAAACAGTCAGTATTTAAGACATGAGTAGTGGATTAGGTTGGTTAGTTGAAAGAACATAAAGGAATTCACAGGTGAAGTTACTCCACAGGGAAGATAGGGCATGATGCCATTTTTCTTCCAGTCCAATTCATCTTAGATCACTCTACAGTATAATTTCAAATTTCTTGTATTCAAAACAGGGCAACTACCCAGCAGAATTGCAAAATTATATCTGTACATATGGAAGGTCAAATTCTGGAATTAAGGTCTTTGGGTTTGTTTGGTTTGTTTTCTTTTTTTAAACACAGGGACTACCGTGAAGTGCATTCAGTAAGTGTTGTAGAAGCTGGGATCTGCCTCTTCTTCCCTCACAGCTGAATATTTCATTGCACAAATCCGCTTCACGAATTTAGCATGGGGTGGGGTTTTTTGTTTTTTCTTTGGCTTGATTATTTTTTGGGGGGGGGGAAGAGGGGGGAGTTAGATGGGTTTGTTTGTCTTTAAACACATCAGATACATTCCAATGATTTCGTGCAATAAAACATTGGCTTCATCGCCTTTTCTGGTACCAGTGTACTAATCCAGCAACCTGCCAACTGCCGAGACATAGGTCATAGTGAAATTCCTAGCAAACAGGTGTTTGCCGGTATTTTCAACTGGCATCAGGATTGGACACTATAGACAGCCAGAAAGAACAGTGATTTTTAAGCCCTTCTGTCTTTGTGTGCCTATATTAGAAACATTAACTACAGTAATGCCTAAGTAGTATCTACACAAAATAAGTTTTATGGCAGTACACGCTAAACACTAAAATTACATCTACATTAGCAAGTAGTGTGGACCAGCTGGAGCAGATCTGTAGAGAAAGTGTTGGTGCTGAGGACCTGATGTCTGCACAATTCCCATTTCATGGCTTCTATTTTCTGGCTGGCTGGCTTTTTTAATTTGGAGTATCTCTAGAGAGGGTGCATTACACACCAAATTATTTCAGATTAAAAAGCTCAGCCTGCTCCTAAGTAGCACTGATGAAGAATTGAGCTGGTGTGCATTACTGTTCAATTTCCGGCAGCAGAGAAAACGGAAGATGTCTTAAAGTGCTTCATTTGCCAAGGATCTGTCCCTGTTGCGTCTATGACTGAACTGGTGTCCCAGACACAAAAGAGTGCAGTTCAGCAGACGAGTTACTGTAATCCTATTATAGCATATTGCTCTAGCACTTTAATGTAGTAATGTGTTTAATGTAACACAGTAACATAGATTTCTATAAAACAGCTTGACATAAAAATAGCTGGGGCCAAACAAAACCAGCTGTTCTTGCCACTAAAATTGTCAGGCCAGCTTTCCCAAGCTTTGCAGTTAAGGCTTTAAAGGCCTGTGGACAAAGAGAGGGACATTTTTTCAGAGAGTTAAAGATATAAAAGAAGTATTTCCACGACATTCATTTTTCTGTCAAGTGTACCCAATTTCATTTTCCTTCCCCAAACAGCTGAACGTGAAAACACACCTCAGGTTCTGATCTCCCCAAATTACCGCAAGTTTATACTGCCTTCTCTATAGCAAGCATCCAGCACACTGAACCAGGGTCTGGCAGTATCTGCGCAGCGCTATTGACTACAAACAGATATACAAGGAAACTTAATCAAGGATGATTGCATTCAAGATTTTTTCTAAAAAAAGGACAGTTACAGTAGCTCTATTTTCAAATTAAGATGGTGCTACTCTAGCAATCTATTGCAATGCTTATTCTTCAGTGTAAGTGACATTGTGTGTAACATGCTATTTTGGGGCAAGGAAATCGATCCTCCAAACATTTCAAACTCAGTAACCATACCTAGGATCTCAATTTTACAATGAAGAACTACAGTTCATTCCAAGCAAAGTTCTGCAGGTGTGACCTGTACTCACTAAATGCAGAACACCTGCAAAATTTGTTTTGACATAAAAAACAAGCGCACGCAAAGCCAGTATTGCAGTTAACTACCAAAAATTAATAAAATACCTTAGACCATAATAAACTTATGTCAAATTACATTCTGTAACCTAATTTTACATTGGGTTTTGTTACACGCAAAATGTTGTTATGGGAAAAGAGGATACAACTTAGTATAACTGAAATCATAACAGACTAATCAAAGAATTATTATTAGTCCAGATCCAATTATTGCAGAAAAAAGTGAATATTGCTATACGTAAAAAGAGATCTCAATAGTAGTAACAGTTAAAATTGTTGTACATACACTTCCTATTACCTCACTCCCTCTCCTGGTGTTATGCTTACCCTTCAACTGATCCTTTGGATTTCGAGGCTGGTGGTGTCCGTTTGTGCCAGGGACATTCGGCAAGTCATCAGCATCCCAAGTCCAAGCACGACATTGACAGTTTCTTCCTCCTTCATCTATAATCGACTTGGGATCACTTATGTTTGATAAAACACTTGTAACATCTTGCTTTTTCTTCATCTGTCTGCATGTTCAGAATTACATCTGATTTTACTGCATATGGTGCATTTTACATGTGTTATACACTTTTTCTCTCTGTTATACTCAAAACAAGTTTTATCTAGAGCCAGGATTGCATTTCTTCAACTGACTGCTGGGGAGTAGTTTGCAACCCAGAGGTTTCCAGTGCCAGCCCTGCCCCATGTCTTGACATCCCAGGTACTCCTCTACGCTGCATCCTGCACTGCCACTTGAGGCTTCTGTTAACATGTCAGGTCTCTATTCCTCTACACTATCTTATTCCATTAAAGCCATAAATACCCCATTCTACACAGAATAACTACTTGCCACTTATATCTATGAAAAAAACTTATGTGGATACCATAGAAAAAAAAAGTACATTAATCATACCCACCTGGTCACTAACAAATTGCTGTTATAGCTAAACCAAGTTAAAAGAAAGCTCCGGGTGAGTCAAGGGAAGCTCAGACAAAGCAAACCTGCTAAGCCTCAAGTCATGAGGCTGTAGTGAGTTTACTCACGCCTGTGACCTATCACTAGCAATGGTAATAGCTGGGCTACAGCTTAGATAGCCAGAAACTCACCCCCTTCTCCTTTCCCCCAAAACGTAAGCATTTGCAACAGACTAGAATTGGACATTCTTTTTACTACCAAAAGAAAAAAAAATCTGCAAGAACTGAGTTAAACATTAATGTCTGGAATGCTATTGTTCTGAAACAGTTTGTTGCCACTGTACAGTACCTCTTTGCCGTAAAATCTGAGATCTATACAACCTTCTCAGTTGCACACCTATGAAATAGTAGTTTTAGATATATTAGAAAATAAAATTATTATTTAAGTGTATTACAGAAAACTTTAGAAGTCTGAAATTAAACTCTAATTCACAGTAGCAGCATCTTGACAAGATGGTCCCTCTGTGCATTAAATTTTTGCTTCATTCTTAAGTTATTTGAAATTAGAGTAAAAGTCTAAGCAACACCTGCAAAGCTTAATTAGCCTTTAAATACATATCCAAAGTAATGAAGCCAATATGAGTTTGAGAATAGAAATACATACTGCACACTTCTATCAGCTCCGGTCAATGGTTCAGAGTGATTGTATTGTTGATTAATGATTCAAAAATCATTACAACTAGTAACGATTTTTCAGTGGACAAATCATCCTTAAGATGTCTGTGTCCCACTATTTTTTTTTTCTTCTCTTTTTAAAAATCTTCATGCAGTGTAAGGGTTTCCATTCTAGTTAGAGCCACTTCCATGCAGACTAAGGAAATGCAATTGTAGGACTGACCCTTTGGACAGGTGGAGGTTGTTCCAGGCTGTCTTTGGTTGACAATTCCACCCCCCTCCTAGAAATAAGCTGGGAGAGTTGATGAACCTCGTAATTTCAGAAGAGACAGTTTTGACTATAAAGACAGTCAAACAGCAATCTGTAAGATAGTACTTATCTGCATTTTGGATACAAATTTAAACAAGGGAGTTCTGAAATGGCATACTTTCTCTCCCTGACAGGTCTGATGACTTCTTCCTAGAAAGGCTGACTATGTAACTGTATGTATCTACGGGCATTTCTGCACTAGGAGCAAAGACAAGCTAGAGAAGTTAGGCTGGTTTTTAATTTCCCTGTACCATGCAGTTTTACATCCTAAAATTAATTGCAAAACATCTAATCTCTAAGTTGATCTTCTATAGCTATTGTAGGACACTAAATCTGACAGAGTAATTCAGCTGCTGGTCCAATTTCTGATCTAGCTACTTCAGCAATTTAAAAAAAGACCATCCAGCTCCAGTCTTTTAGTTAATATCAAATTAATGAAATATTAAAAAGTTGGATAACAGGAGTTTATACCTTATATAAACAGTGGCAAATCTAGCTTAAAAATCAGGTGTCAGATTTTTAGTTTCCATGCAAGTAGATTTAAAATTTTGCAGAAATTAAGAAAAATGGTTTAGCACAGCAGTATACAACCACTCTAAAAATATTAAAATACCATCTATGTGACATATCCTCATCACTATTAGACATAAGTTACATAAACTCTTAAATTTATTACAAAATAGATTTCCACCAGTACATACCAGTCTCCAAAAGGTTTTTATTTATCATCCCAAACTAGTAGATATTATAAAAATAAACCATTATTTAATATTCCGTTAACTTTTATCATACAGTTTTCTTTGTTTGAAACAGAAAACATATACAGAAAAAAAATAGTTTTCTATGGATGTCCCACAAAGCATCAAACTCTGCATTTGTTCTATTGTTGCAGAAAAATGAAGCATCGCTAAAATAAGGGAATATAGTCTTGGCAGCCTGTTCTTCCTCCCTTTAAACTGCAATGCTCTGTATGCGCATTTATGGAAACTTAGTAAGGCCTGAACTGAGAAGGATGGCTATCTGGAGGAGGTGGAGGAGGTGGCGGTGGCAAAAATGTGTATGATGAGTTGTACATGTTTGGGCCTGTCCAAATCATATTCAGATTTGAAGGTGGAAGGTGGAATTGATGCATCTCATTAACAGAACCAAAAACTGGAGGAGGAAAGGGATACTGTTGCATCATTGGATTTTCTTTACTATGAGGTTGTGGAAACACTGGAGATTCCTGATGTATCCTGTTGTCTGAAGAGTATAGCTGTGGTGGTCTTACTTGTGGTCTCAAAAAACCTGGAGGGCCTGATGGAGGAGGAAATGGATCCCTGGAGAACCCTCTGCCACGGTATCCCCTTGGATAACTTGAAGCAGGCTGTTGCATTGACTGATGAAGTCCTTTATTCTCATCTTAGAAAAAAAACAAAACAAGAAAAACCACACAGTTTTAATATTATTTTGGAAAGATTAAGTTTAGTCCTCACAAATCTTTCAAGCTGAAGTCAAGGAAATTTTCAGAGTAAGCTTATCAACAAATAATACTGGCAAATAATACATAAACAACAAAATAATACTGGCAAGTCTACTGTTCAGTAACGCATCGTGATTTATTAGAGTAATATAGAAAGAATGATCCTGAGGGTTGCAAATTCAGTCCTTAAAAAAGAAATTTCCCTTTCTTCCCCTCCAGATGTTTTCATTTGTATTAATGAATCACAGCAACACTCAAACTGTGAGTGCTTTGGAAGCTTTGGTATAAAACAAGATTTAAAAACAACACATTTTGAAACTGAAGATAAATCAACACTGCATTACACTAAAGTGGTATGCAACTTTCAGACCTGAGTTGATATTACAGCACAGACACAGGACACAAGAAATTTTTCAAACTCAAATTAATAAAATTAACTTACTCTATCAGAAAAAAGGCAGCCTGTACCTTTAGCCAATTAGCTTTCAGCATTCATCTTTCAAAGATGACTTTTTCCCTGTACAGGTCACTGTAAGCATATATTTACGGTTCGTAACAAATGTACTGCCACTTTATATAAATACCATAAGAGGGATAAGTGCTATAAAATTGAGAGCACTGAAATATTAAAAACGTTCCAAAGAGCTGCTAAGATACTCAAAAGGATGTAGAATTTAAACTGAAACATGATCTCTAAAGAATTTTACGACTAGAAGCAAAAAGGTATTTAGGGACATAATACCGCATAAAATCACTGAATTTTAAGAACTTATGTGGACCTAATCCTTGGCACTAGACTACACAGAAACATTTTCACCTTTGAAAAGCTAAGACTGGAAAGGTAGTCGGATACCAAAATTCCTACTTATTTTCATGGCGGACTAGGACTGAGACTCCTTTGGTGCATGCAGTCCTCTCAGAAGCACTGAAGTGAAAGTACTTCAGTAAATATTTTTGTTCTTTCTTCTCCTATCAAAGACTATAACAATGAGCCAATTTTAGTATACTCAGTTTTATGAAGATGCAACCAAGCAGAACTCCAGCTGACACTGAGTTTGTGCCTCAGTTTGCCAGATATCCCTGTTGTTGAATTCCACAGCCGAACTAAATTGCACACAATGTCAATTTATACCATGTTATTTACAGAAAAACAGAGCAAATCATAACCCATACTCCCTTGACAGATTGAGACAGTTCCTCCCATTGTGTTCTCAGTTATGGAACACAGCTCAGTAACAGTCTCAGCAAGCCCTAGGCAAAGGCAGTTCTGCAATAAGCTGGCAAAATAAGGATATGGTGGAAAACATGCCGTATGCTAGATAAGCAGAAACCAGGAGAGAAAATAACCATCAGCAACGAAGGGGAAGTATAGCACGATTCAGATCCTTCCCTTAAGGGAGAACTGTCAAAACCATAGGGCAAAAGCCAGTCTAAAAAAAGATCACAGCTTTATTTAAAGGGTACAAGGGAGGGATGTACTGTACACAGAGTAAAACGGTTAACAGGACAGTTACTGACTTCCCAGATCAAAAGAAAAGAGGTTCAGTGGGGCACAATGTCTAGCAGCTTTACAAAGGAAGAGCAGCAAACTCACGGAAGGAGTCAGTCCAAGAAAATCAATGAGGGGGAAGCACTGTGCTACAGACAGTTGAAGCAACCTGATATGTAAGCAGTAGAAGAGTAGGAAGAGGGGAGGGGATGAGTCAGTAGTATTTAAAGGGAGCGGTACAAAAAGCATGCAACAGAAGCAGGCCAGTGAGAACAGAAAAAGAGGAATGCAATTTAAATTATTCAACCAAAATGGCAACCAAAAAGCAAAAAGTTTTTTTGAGTAGAGAGGCATGAGAGTAGACAGAAAGGAAAATTTGGTTATTACAAACAGAGCACACCTGCAAGCATACACCTGGAACAGATCTGTCAACTGCAGGAGAAAGGAAGGTGAAGAAGGTTATGTATATTATGAAAAACTATACATAGTTTATTAAACTACTATAGGTTTGTTTATCTAATGACTGTGTTAGGTAAACAGAGAGGGTCTCAGTGGGCTACGCAAATAGCAGTTATTTTAAAGGAGTATTTATATGCCATGGGTGAGGAAGAGCTTTCTTTTCAGACAGAGGAATAAATTCCCCATCTAAGACTTGTGTCTTCTCCCTGATTATCAAAAAAATGGGTTTCCAAAAATTGCACATGGCCTTCCTCTATCTTCTCCCTGCACTCAAAGGCTTAAGCTGAACTTGGACCCCAGTAACCCCTGCAATAAGCAGGCTCTAAACTCCAAAAGGTGGCATCTGTTCTATATCCTCACCGTGTGTCAGCCAACACTGTCGTTAAGAGCCTTTGAATCTGACAACTGTCCTGCTCCTATACTACTTCCTTTCCACAGTTTAATGGAAAAAACCCTTCGTTTTCCTTTTTAAAAAATTAAGGAGCATAGCCACAAATTCACAGATATAACTTTGAAAAGCACAGAAATACTGATTAACTGTATGAATGCTCAATCATTAAGATAGATATCATTGTGTATTTCAAACTCAGTTTAACAGATAAAAGCACTCCCCCATAGCATTCACTCACTCGATGCATTTGTTTCTGATTTGAGTTTCTTCCTTCCTTGACTTTGAGGCTTCTTTTTCTTCTGTTTTGCCTCTCTCTCTTTTTCATCATCACTGAAATCCAAGGCCTGGTTAAAAAAAGAAAGGAGAACAAAGCCATATAAAGACTGCACAGAGAACTTCAGTTCTAGCAATAAATCATTATTTAGAAAACAATCCATCCTGCAGTCAGCTTAGAAGAATATTAAAGCTGCACTGTTTTGCATTCAAAGAGCCATCGTGCGTTCAGCTGGCTTCTCTACACAAATCAAAAACTTAACACTCCACAAATTTCTCATAAGACAACTAACTACACAATACTCACTTATTCCTTCTAATTTTCCTAAAACCAGCATCATTCAAGTATTGAACACAAATTTTTGATTGCCTAGATATTAGTAAGAAAAAATTGGGAATCTCTGAGGGAGCTGGCTAGTTATTGCCAAGAAAAAGCTTTCGAAGGGCGAACTGCAGACTTGGTGAATTAAAATATGGATTTTTAAAATAAGTTAAAATTAATTTGGCAACTAATACTTAACTCAGCACAGTTAAGCTACATTGAAAAATATCTAATCTGAAATTGTCACTAAATTGGAATTTTCTGTAGTATATTTAATAACACTGTTCCCATTAAACTTGCAATAACAATGTTATTCCAAAGGAATTTTCAGCTTTGAAGACTGTTGGCATTTACAATAGATTCAATGTCACTGCAACATTTTGTTCCTGTTACACAAGGTTTTGCTACCTTTTGAATCCTAGCTTACATTTAGGATGAGGAAAAGTTACTAGTGACAGGAAAGAAATCTGTCAGCATAATTAGTTCCCCGAAAAACAGCTCGCTCGTATGACTTAAAAGGGTCTGTTCCCATCCTCCCCTTCCCAATTCTGAAAGGAAGGGGTTTGCTGCTTACTGATGTATCTCTAATAGTATATACAGAGCACGGATCTCAAAAACACTGCACTAAAACAGTGCTAAAAAAGCCACGTAGAAGTTAATTCTGAATACAACTATTTCTTCTTCTACATACTGGATTATATTCTTACTCAAAAAAAAGCCACAAGATGATATATACCATGAAGTAAAATCTTTCACTAATTCCTGCTTTTTCTAAGGACTTCAATACGCCATTCTCCAGTAGAGCAGAAATAACAAACAAAAGGTACCTTCTGTTGCTAGCTAATTTCCATGTAACATACCACAAAAGCTCCCTCACAGAGAAATCGGTTATCTGCTCCTGCTAGCCTTGCAGCATACAGATCATACTTTGTCATCCTATGACCCCAAAGACAAGGCTGAGAGAGATTGTATTACTGAGTCTACGGTTAAACTGGACTAATCACAGGCCTGTCAGGAAAGGAACGCTTACCATATACCTTAAAGTAGCAAGCATAAAAGGCCTAACATGGATTAATTTAATGTTCATACAAAAATAAAGCTTCACAGTATCACGAAAAGAACTGACTCCAGCAATTGCACACAGTTTACTGTGGGAGCTGGCCAGAAAAATTACAGAATCAGCTGCCAGCTGAGGGCTCTAAAAGAGACTGGCTGTAAGAGACAATTTCAAGCATCAGTAGCATAAAATTTAATCTGCACCCTTGTCAACAGCTATTACCTTCACAGCAAAAACTACTTTCTATCAGCTCATCAACTGTCACAGTTTGGATATCTTAGTGTAAACTCTAACTGCTAGAACTATCCAAATATTATTCTAATTAAGGATTAGAAGATGTTAGATGTGGTGCTTTCTCCAAAACAGAGCACACAGACATATCACAAAGTCAGAACAGCCACAGAAAGACAGTTGTCATAAAAAGCAATCGAGTTTGCCCAACTTTGCCATCACTGATTTCATTCAAGCTTCCTTCCTTCCTATAGTGAAGTACAGTAAACCTAAAGTCCCTCCTGTACTTTCAGATTCTAACCTGAAGGTAACAGTATCATAATTAAAATTAAGAAAAATAATAAAAAAATAAATACCAACTTTGGAAAAAGTAATGAATCTGTATCTGCAGCAGACTTGACTGCTTGACTGTATTTAGCCAAGTTTTAAAGTTACTTAGGTTCCTACAAATTCAAATTACACGTTTACAAGCTTATCACCTGACAGCTTTAAAAATATGACTGAAACAAAAAAAAAGCTCACCATTAGCCAATAATCACATTTTGTATCATCATCACTAGAAAACTGTTTGACAAAAGAAAGTTAAGGCTATCCAAAAGTTTCTAAGTATACAGTCTTTCAAAGCTCTGTTGATCACATACCTACACTCTAATTCTGTGCAACACTTCTAATTCTCAAATGATGATTCTCTGTGAGATGATGTCTCCCCAAGAAAGGAAGGCAATTTACAGCCAGAACTGACAGACAAGCATTCTTTGAGAGAAGTCAACACTGCTCAGCTCAGTTCCATTTGTGGGAAGAAAAAAAAAAAAAAAAGGTATTTCAAAATGCATCATCCTCACTATAGTGGAAAAAGCAACATTCTGGCTTGACAGACTGATACATTATTACAGGACTTATCTTCAAGCATAGAAAAGCCCATGTCACAACATCTCTCCTTCAAGCCAGAACAACTGGCCTGGGATAAGAACTGTGAATGCAAAAATTGATACTGTCCCTCACTGCATCCTTCTGGACAAGTTGTCCAACTGTGTGATGAGCGGGTTCATGGTGCACTGGGTGAAGTACTGGCTGAAGGGGCAGAGCTCAAAGGGTTGTACTGAATAGGGCTACAGCTGGCTGGTGACTGGTCACCAGCAGTGTTCCTCAGGGTTCAATTCTAGGGCCAGTTCTGTTTAATATATTTATCAACGATCTGAATGAAGGATTTGAATGCACCATTAGCAAGTTTGCTGCTGATACCAAACTGGGAGGTGCTGTTGGCTCTCTTGAGGGACAAGAGGCCTTGCAGAGGGATCTAGATAGATTGGAGCACTGGGCTATGATTAATGGGATGGAATTTAAAAGTCCAAATGCCGGATCCTGCACCTAGGACGGAGTAATGCCGAGCACAAGTCTAAACTGGGAGAGGAGTGGCTGGGGCGGAGCCCGGCCGACGAGGCTGCGGGGGT